GGGACTAATAAAGGATTATCTTAACCTGTCCAGTGTGTACGCCACCTCTTGCCCGATGTCAGCTAGGATTGGCTCCAGCTCCCCGTGACCCTCAAAAGGATAATCGATAATGAGAATGGATGGATGGACATGCTGGATAAGAATATTTGTAAAGTAATGTCTGAGCCTCTCATGGAATGTATATGAAGTTGGATGACGCACGCTGAATTCCTCCCTGAGACTGACTTGCAATTGGTCAAGCACATGAATTGGCGCGACCTTGACCAATCGTGAGTCAGTCTCAGCTGTCAATCTCTATGTTTCACCCTGTTTACATAGCATCAAATAACAAATGACCAGCCACCAGGGGGTGATCAAGTTGATTTGGCTTCATTTTTGGGGCTCTGTCATGTTGTCGATCTTATCATACATTCTAAAGTCCCCCCTTACAACTTCACAATCATTCAGCCCTATATATAATAAAGAGTTTATGACTATAGTAATGATAACTATAAAACCCTGGGTACTCAGAGCACCTCTAACCACGTCATCCCCCTAAATGTTCCAACACCTGAAGAGGAACAACACAGAGTGCAATGATCACTCAACTCCACACCTCGTGATCGCAACATCAGCTCTCAGTGTTGCCTCAACAACTTTCCCTGTGTATTAAAACCGTAAGCTCAGTTTTTCATAGAGGCCTCAGTGAAGGAGCAGAAAGGTTGATCCCGGGGTAACCGAGCCCCTGGCTGGGAGGCATATGAGCCAAATGTGATTCGACAAGGCCCGGAGCTCCGGGGTCATGGCACAGTGAGGAACATGTGTCCCTGCGAGGGAAGGCCTTGTTGCTCCCTCAGCCAGTCAACATTTTCCACTTTGTGCAACAAATCCTAATGAGGCTATCCTCTGTGGGGGGAGCCAGGCTCCTGTCTGTGGAGATTTGTCTGCAGAGCTAAACAACCAAGCAAAGATGCAGTGAAGCGACGTGCTCGCTCACACTCCGTTTCGTACACACACAAACCAAGACTAATGAGGTGAGGGAAGCCAAACTGTTCTGCAGGCCGGTGCAAGGCAGGGGATTAAAAATGTCTTCATGCAAAGAATCAAGGCAAAAAAAACTCAAGCAGAATGATGGCCCCATGACAAAATACAGTGCATATTTGGTTAAGCTGCTTGCAGTATGGGGAGACTCAAACCCCCAGAGTATGGTAGTTATTCCTCAGTTTATTCAGTTCATGCGTTGGATTTTATAGCTGTGACATTAAACGAGTTTAACACTGAAATTATCAGATAGGCCTTTAGAATAATATTCAAGTATATGGGACATAAATGTCAAAACCAAATATGGAAAACTTTCCATCTGTGGTTGGTATTCCTACAAACTCAATACAGGCCAACAGAAAGTACTGAGAGGAGACAGCAGGAGAGAAAAAGGTCGATGTTCAAAGACATTCCCATGTTTCTGATCCGTCTTTGGGGTCAGTCCACCTGAACCACATTAATTCCTGTTCCTTCTCTGTGCCTCTTCCTTTTCCTTAGGAAATCTGTAAAGGTAATGCTTTGTAGCAAAGCTCAGTTTAAAAGTCACATTGCCATATGTTACTATGATACACTCTGACAACTCTATTGGCCACAGTCCACTTCTTTTTCTGGGGGGGTTGAGGTGGAATAAAATAGTGGCACTAATGCGCAACACCTGTTCCTTGCCGGCATCCGTCACTATATCAAATATAAAAACAATGACAGCTGTGGTGATATGTCGAGTCTGTGGGCCTGGCCACAGATGCAACAGAACGAGCCAGGGGTCGTTTCTTCAAGCACTTGTATTCACACAGGGTGGAGAGACCCTCTCTGGGTCAGATAGCTGAAAGCAGAGTGCAGTGGCCAGAGCCTGTAAAATTTCACATGTGGTTACTGAGGAGCAGCAGGCGCTATCGATTTCTTTAATCTAAAGCCCGGGACCCCGAAAGGAAAAAGGGCCTATGGGGGCTGCCTGCTTTCAATTACGAGGTCCGTAAAGACATTGAGATAGGGGCCGATGTGATGGATGGTCGGTGAGATGCCATGATGGGGTCCATGCCTCTGTCTGCTTAGGCTCCAGCATGCCTGGTGGGATCATCTACAGGCCAGAGACACGCCCCAACATTAAGTCCAGGGGTGTAATCAAAAAGTAGACGGATTACGCTTGAGCATCGAGGATTTGCCCGTATGCATCTTCACAGCTGAGTGCCATTTGAAATGTCTGTCTTTCAGTGAGATAATCAGAACTGACAATCACATAAAAATAGGTGGGGGAAGTGGTAACCAAAAACAAGATCTTTTTTAAGGGATGAGAAAAGATAGCGAGAACAAGAGAGACCTGTGGCTCTACTCTTCTGATCAAGGGATTAATTCTTCTATGAGAAAAGATAAAAAAATGAAGGGTGTGTCGACTGGAGCCTTAACTTCGCCTGAACAATTTCCAGTAAATTACACAGTATGCATGAGTCATCTGGTGGTTCAGACACTTAGTTTGGAATAAAAACATCTATTTTCAGCTCACAGAGAACATGAAACTCACTTATACACCTCATTATTTTAGTTAGTCATCCCTTTATTTCTCCTTACTATCTACTGGGTTTTAAGACAGACGTGAAATGCAAAGGACGTGTTGATATAAATAAAATCAGTTACTCTTCACTTCCTTTTATATTAACTGTTTTTGGCATCTCCACCAAAACTCCACCGAGGCTGTTTATCCTTCACTTACTGACTGGAGAGTTGAATGACAGGGCAAGCTGCACTGAATTTAAACTGCAATAACAACATTTCTGAGTTATGATATCTTATTCCTAATGACATTAAAAGTCAGTGAATTGGTTATTACATTGGATTTCTTATGTCATAACCTCAATAATTTAGATTTTTATGTGCAATGAACATCTATGTTAAATGTGCATCTAAGGTTACAGTCAAATACAGGGCAACACCAGCTGCTGTGTCACAAGCTGTGTGTGTAACTTTCATAAAAGCTGAGTTTGCAACTTTCTATAAAGCATAATGAATTCCTTATTGAATCCTGAGATGAATTCAAAGTATTTAAGAAAGGACTGGAAACTACAACCATGAACAAGCTAGTTACATTTCTGTGAGTTAATAAATTCAATTAAATCAAATCAAATCCTTGCTATTCATGGCTGCATAGTGACCATTAACCACCTCATTGTTTTCATTCAGAACTTCTTGTCTCTGTTCCTCTAACTTTTTGGCTGTTATTTATTCTTTAAATTGGACCAACCACACATGAATATCTATATCTTGATGATTGTGTAATCTCACAGAGCGAAACAGTTAAACGTCTTGGTGTCTCATCTTGGAATTGATCCATCCGTGTCACTTGAATCCCACATCAAGTCAGAATGTCAGCTTTTCACCACCTCTGCATCAAAATCCAGAATCTGCCTGTTTATCTCATTCATTTGCTCAGATGTCATCTGGACCTGATTAGTTCATTTTCCTTCTCTCTGGCCAAACAGTCATCATTCAATATCCTGTCATTGGTCCAGAACACTGCTGCAATCATCATAACCAGAAAACTTGATCAAAACACAACACAATGCTGCACATACATATCAACGCACGTTCTACAGAACCCTGACTTATCAAGCATGAAATGGAGAAGCACCTTATTATCGCTCAGATTGCATTCTACCATGATATACCCAAATTCTTATGTTTCTATTTCTACTTATCCATGCAGAGTTGACCCCAAAAAATACAAATCTGACATGATTTACTGTTAGATCCAACAGTATCTTATATTTTCCTTGTTGTTAGTTTTGTGATTTTTTAAAAGGTTTTATCTGTACCAGTTTTGTTTCTAAATAATAATTGCTATAGTTGTTTAGTTTTGCTGTTACCTTAATAGTGTCTTTTTGTAAAATATGTTGACGCACGATTGAGTCAGCTGATAAATTCTTGTAACGAGGTCTAAATGTTCTTGACAGAACGAAGAATTCTGAACTAATGCATCTCAGTGCAACATGTAGGTCAAACAAGCCGGACCAATTTATCAGTTGGCTGATAAAATTGGCAGATATGAGCCTTTCACATCGGTGTCAGTGATATTTGCTGATGTGCACGCACAAAAACGTTATGGAATAAACAATGCAGAAAAGACATGCATTTTTATTTACATTTCACATTACAATATATCTTTATTATGTGTTTTATTTTCAAGTTCTTGTGTTTTCTTTTTCTTATTTATATTTATTACATGTATGGTTAAAATATCGAGCCTTAATTACATTTCTTTGTCATAAGAGTTTGATAACAACATCTAGCCGACTTATTGGTATCCAAAATTCAGCCCCCAAAATGTCATAATGATTGGCTCTAGTTAACATTTTGCACAAAATTAAAAGTTTTTTTTATTATCCAACCAAAGACAATATTGAGGAAGTTTAAATTGATATTTATGGAGCTTTTTTGGCAAGCAGCAAAGGGCACTGGGTTGGAATTGAACCTGGGCCACTGCGGATGAGACACAATAAATAAAAATGTATTGAAATGTGCACTTAGGCTTTTCTTGGTTAATTTAAACTTAATTCCTGGGGCAGCGTATAAATCATTTAGAGCAGCTGCCCCAAAATTAATTTTAAATGAATAGAAAAAAGCCTATGTGCACATTGCAATACACTTTATTACTTTAAATATGCACTTGGACATCAAACTGGTTATGTCAACTATTTTCTATACAGTAAATCCTCTCGCAGGACAATCCTGCCAGGTCTACAACTTTGAAATTTGAGCCCTGGATTGGATTTCATTCATACTGAGATCTAAATATTAATCTCAGACTGATCTAAATCCATGTCCTTGACAGGCCTGATAGTGAAAAGCTTTGTCTGCTCCGAGCTGGGAGAACATCTCTCCCTCTGTCTTTCAGTGGATGTGACCTGCTGGCCTGTCCGCACCAAACAGACACAAATCCAAACTGTGTAGCAGTTTGAAGTCTCTACAAAGACAGACAGAGATTAGGCATGGCGGTGCCATGGTCCACAAGATCCACCAGCATCTCCATGCCTCAGCTCAACATCAAAGAGTGCGGTGCAACAGTTTGAATTATAGACAGCAAGTGTGCAGTCATGCCTCCAGTGGCAACAAGTCCCGGCCCGATTAACCTCGGTGCCACCCCGAGGAGGGAGAGCAGATGATACAGCTCGTAGCAGGGCAAGATAAATTACAGTACCAACAACTGCACATCAGACACGGGACAAAGAGTCACTGAGGTCCTGCAGCATTTTGATGGCTCAATTCCTCAACTGTAACTCCAGTTTGAGACAATTTACAGCAAGAGTTGCACAAGGTTTGCCCTCTGACTGTTTGCTTGGCCTGTGATAATGCATGTAGCAGTTTTCTTTCCGAAGCCCTTTTCAGACATGTCCCGAGAAGGAACTCAAGAGAATCGGGTATGACCCCTCACTAGCTAACGATGAACTCAGCAGGAGATCCCCTGTGTTGTCACATAAGATTCTGCAGACTTTCGGCTGACTTCATATGAGGGGGCCAGGCAGAGCAAGTCAGCAGAAACTGTGGAGGCTGCATTCATACATACACCTCCTCTGGAGAAAATGCAGAGGCTCTCCAGATTTCAGTGCATGTCTGAAAGCAGCTTAAAACTGTCAAAGTGACCAGCAGTAATTGAGCTGCAGCAAGTGAAGTTGTTGTTGCTGTTGTCCAGAACATGCCCATACTTGTGATCTCCTACGTCACTTACATGTATGAGTCCTCACTGCCTCTGCTAGAGAGCTCTGGTTGCCTGTTCATTAATCTTGAATGTATTGTGTGTCCAAATCGCACCAAATTTGACATTGCACTCCCATGACCCTTAACAACACACAAGTGTGAAGCCGATAACATGTACAGTTTTCGAGATATGTGCTTCACAGGCACACAGAGACTTCTAAAATGATTAGACAGATAGATGAGGCTGATAAATCCTTTGCAGTTATGTTATGTTTTCTTCAAACAGGTCCATTTATGGCCATTTTTCCAAATAAGAGAGAAATTAATTTTCAGATTGTTCGTGCAGTCCCTCACTTTGCCTTTCCTGCCACTGCCCGGGGAACTTTTCCCTCGTCTAAACACCAGCAGTTACAATCAGGAAAGATTACAGCATATTATCAGCAGATGGACAAAAGACGATTCAGACCAGGGGTTATAGCCCAGATGACACCTGGGATTCATTCTGAGGGAGCGGGAAAGAATACTGATGTCGTCAGTGGAGTAAAAGAAAAACAAAGAAAGAATGATAACACAATAATTGCTGATGCAGACAAAAGCAATTTTGTTGACTGTTATTTTCTTCCATGAGTTTGTATTCTGCTGAAGGTAGCAGATTTTACAGACACATCTAGGCCACATGAGCAAGAGGAAGCATCATAAATGCTTCCAACATCTAAACGTATAATAATACAAGAAAGAACTGTAGTTTGGTTTTAGCATACTTTTTGATGAATGCTGACACAAAGATAGAACAAAGACTGATATAGAAACAAAATGACCGGCTTACGAAAAGGCCAGCTCTATGGGAAAAGTTGTCCAGATGGAGATGGGCCAAAAATGAGATGGCAGGCAGCTGTTGAAGCCAGCTGTCCTGGCCAGTTGTTCATAAGAGCTGGGAGGCCAGGATGGAGGGATTCAGAGACATTTGGGATGACGATGATGAGGGGGCATAGATATAACAATGAGGGATGACAGGGAGGGGGGAAAAGTGGGGGGGGGGCCCATTTGGTTTAAAGGAAAAGGTGTGTGCTCAGTGGGACATTATAGAGTGTGACACATTTATCTGTAGACATCACAGGGCCCAAACAGGCTGTGTTCTATGTTGCTCCACTTCCTTGCTGTTGCATTAAAAAAATAAAATCACAGCAGATCAATTTTATATAAACAACGTAACCATTTCCTTGAGCAGCAGTAGAATAATTATTGCACTAAAAATAGTATGTTGTACAAGCCATTGCTATCTAGGTAGTAACACTTTCATGGCTAAAAGACCAAACGAGTCTATTGATTAGACTAGATTTATTGTCAAGCCTTTTCCCGTCTCTCAGTCTGTATAAGTATCTCTAAATATACACAGTGCTGGCTAATTGCTGCATGAAAGCCTTCAGCACTCCGGTGGCCCATTAGTGATCAGGAGTTTAATACTGCTGATGGTGCATGGCAGCATAATAATTGGAGCTATTACCATGCTTGACTCCTCTCTTTACTGTAATCACAGGATCAAAAAAGGCTTTACAGCCACTTTGGACTTTAATGTAGTATTAAATGTAACATTAAACCTTGCATAATGACATTCAGGTAGTTCATAAGGGCATCAAATTAATCCGAGATTATTGACATACTAATTAGCCACCGTGTTTTGAGATGTTGACTTTAAGTTAGCACTGAGCTGGACAGAATTGTTAACATTGCGATGGAGAACTTTTGTTCTTGACATCCAACATGAAATCTCAACAGGGGCGTCTCACAGGAAAGGCCTCAGGACATTTTGGACCACTGGGGCTGGTGTTATAATATCAAGCCTAATAGTGCCCCCTGGTGGCCTTTCCTTGAGCAGACAAGCAACTTCCAAGAAGATAGAGAAGTATCATAAGCGAGCAAAGCCCAGCTGCAGACTTTGCAAATGCACTCAATGGTTTGCCACTGATGATCTCTAAAAACCATCAGTAAAGCCCAGATAACACACATATGGACAGGCTAACCATGGTGCTCCCAACATATTGCTCAAAGCGGTTTGTGTGATATTTGTTAATGTAGCTGCTCTAATGCTTATACACTCATTTTGGAAAATTATATGGGAAGCATCCTTCATGGTCATGGGTGTATGGACTTGAGGTGTGGGAAATGTTTGGCTCCAGATGCTTACTGTAAATTCTTTAGATGAGTTCTCTGTGTTTCCAAGCGTTTCCAGCAACAACGTGATGATCACACCTGACAGCCTCCGAGAAACTCTGATAAGAGGAAAGACATTAAGAAATCAAATTGCGCAATACTTCCCAGCACTGAATGTTTTTCCTCTCACAGAACTGTGGATCAACAGAAACTTGTTATCATTATCAAATGTGTTTTTATCTGAAGCCTAGATTAAATAACACGTGTGAACACACCCAGTGAAACCTTTCAGAATAAAGGTTTAAGTGTAAAGGTTTTTTTTCTTGTAGCCTCTGACCTGGTGCTCTTTGCCTTTTCATTTTCCACATCTGTTTCTAAACAGTTTTATTGGCTTGAAAGCTGCTGGTCACGTTTATATGATGTTGAGAGGCTATAAGTAGCGGATTAGTTTGCTAATGCTCGTGAGAGAAACACTTACACGACAAAGTAATGACACCATGTGCAAAGTCCATACGCGCCAGGAATTTAAGATCTCCTTACTTTTTCCATAAACAAGTCATTGCTCCTAAAGTCAATTTGACTGACACTGCTGTACTGCTGTGCCTGAATGGAGTAAAGGATTTGTGTCATGGTGCCGTACATCACAGCTTTAAAAAGGAAATGGTATGGTTGGGCTTGGTAATGGTCACAGAATTTCTAACCAATCATTTCATATCAGGTTCAGAGAGGTCAGACCACTAACACCGACTTCTATATTTGCAATGTTGCCCCTCAGGAGGCCTCTGAACATCTGACAGAGGCTTTAAAATTTGAGGTTCAATTTGAGGTTAACAGGAGATTTCAGGGATGCTTTTTTTTGTATTATAGAATAAAAATAAAGACATTTACTTGTCCAGGAATGTGTTACATTCTAATGCCTATAATATTGGGTATGACTTTCAATATGCCTGTGCCAGGTGGTTGACCTGAGAGGTGTGAAGGCCTCTGCAGGAGTGCTTTAGGTTGGATGCTTTTGTTTTGTTTAGGCAGTTGTGATCCTGTTGTTGTTATAAGGTGAACCTTGAGAGTCTGCACCTAAAGACGATAATGATCTTAAAAATGGACTGCATCTGCTCCCTCCCATAGTTTAATACTGAAATGCTTCAGCTGTTACTTTTGAGGTTTGCCAGTCCACAACAGACCAAGAATCTTCTCCGTCAACAGATCCATGTTGTAACAAACTCCTGTATTCAAGTAAGGACAACGGAGGCTTATCCACCACTGTGAACACCAATTAGAAATTCAGCCAACTTTCGCCGGATGCTGATGTATGAGCACTGACGACTTGTTCGCACTCCACAGCCATTAGGAGCTTCTGGAAAAACGTAGGGAACTTGGAAGGGCACTAAGAGGGGACAGTGCACCCTAACCTCCTTCAGTGCTCTGTGAAGTATGTTTATATCATTCTAGTGGTTTTTATTATGATGATTCAAATAACCCAGACTCTTGTTTCTTTAAGTGGCCTAAATACACATTTAAATGACAACAATGCAAAGTTGTTTTGGTTAGGTGTATGCAAAGTGCTTTAGAGAATACAGTAATAAAACAACAGCCATCTTTCAGTGCAGATTTTTCTTTGTCTCTGCCGATTAGAACTTTAAAATAAGGTGAAACACATGAAGTCAAATTAACCAAAGAGTGGGAACACAATAATGTGATGAATACATTCTTAAATGGAGGTGTCGCTTCAGTAATAAAGAATTGTCTGACACCCCCCCCTGCAAACACAACTCTCACAGGCAGGTGTTCAAATACAGCGATCAGCCAATTCTCTTTAAAAACACAAGACAAATAAGACAACACTCCAGGAACAACACATGCACAGAGGCCGTTTTCATTCATCAACTCCGGAGATGATCCAGAGTTCAGAGCACAGTGTCTGTCCATTGGATGCTGTATGAGACAACTTTGAGCAAACTAGCAAAAACTTGCACGAGTGAATGTAGCCACCGCTGAAAGAGCATCAACAAACCAGCGTGTGTTTCTAATGCAGCTGCTTCTTCGGACTTTTCACTGTTGGTTCAGTGCCGGAGCGTGTTTTGCAGCGAAAGATGGCGTTATCACCCCAGCTTCGGCCTTACGTCAAATCACAGCTGACCCTCTCACTCCACCCGCTAGCGTTTACCTCCAACACCGGAGCTACGCGTGTCTCCGGTGGTAGACGAA